ACCCTTGGTATATGGGGCTGGAGCCCTACCCACTGAGCCACTGCTGCCACCCATTTCCCAGTTTATTAAGTGCTATGTGCATATCCCCTGACAGCAGCCCTGAGTGGCAGTGCGGAATTTTTCTCCTTGTTTGATCGTTCAAGAGGCTCCATGATTTGCCCAAAGCTGCAAAGGTAACCACAGTGGGGCCAGAATTCATCTAGGGCTTCTTCCTAGAGCTGGGGCATGAGACTCTGTCTAGCTGGTTAGTCTCTTGGCTCTGGTGCTGCATCTGTGAGATGGCAGAGTACTCCTAGCCATGGGCTTGCTGTGGGCTTATAGTTGTCAGCAGAAATGCAGCTGAGAGTGTTTTTCCAAACTGGGAGGTGCATGGATGCCCCAGGTTGCCCTTGTTACTGTGAAGCAGCCTGATAGATGGAGGGAACATGGGCTGTAGGGTCAGACAGGTATGGGTGTGATTCCCAGCTCTGCTGCCTCCTGGCTATGCGGCTTTGGGCAGGTGCCCTGGGCTCTCTGGGCCTTGCTCCTCTCCTGCAGGCTGGGGTTATAATGGACACTCATCTCTTGATACTGTTACGGGGCTAAATAAGACAAAAAACATGAAGTGCTCTCAGGCCCCTCCCCTTCTTCCTGCTGGGTGCTCACCTTCCCCTTACCATATATTAGTGTATTTCTAAGAGGCCAGCAGGTAGACACAGTTTGTTAAACCTCCTAAGACCACGGCTGTGGGGCCTGATGTCCCTACTTGCCTGCTGTGACCTTGGTTTGCTCATCTCTGTGATGGGAGTGCTAAGTGGGAAGCATAGAGATCCACTCTTCACAGGTAGTTAAGTGCCTGCTGCACACTAGTGTCTGTGGTGGCCATTTCTGGTGGTCATATCTGTCCACTTCAGTCTAGATTAAATAGGCATTATTGCTGCCCTTTTGTGCCCCACCCAGACTGTGAGGTTGGGCAGGGGGTGGCAGAATATTTTATCCTGGTGTGTGTGTCCAAACACATCTTTGCTATGCTTTGCTCAGTGTAAGCCTCAGGCTTTTAAAAATAGCAGCTTTCTTGCTCTCAGCAGACAGAGTTTCTACTGTATCAGGCTAATGACGGGCTGGCAGCTGAGTGTCACACATGATTACTGTCTCCAGGGGAGGCAGCAGCCTTGGCAGGGCGTCACCCCTGGGTAGAGCAGACACACACAGGGAGTGCCTTACCCAGCCAGACCAGGTGTGTGAGGTTCTCCAGGCCTTCGATCCTCTCAATGATGTTGTTGTCCAGCTGTAGCTTCCTCAGGCTCTCAAACTGCCAGAGGTTGTCTATGCGGAGGATGTCTGAAATAGGCAGAAAAGAGTCCAGCCATGGGTCAGGATTAGAGTTTTGCATCAGTCCAGTAAAGGACTGTGACATAACCATGTAAAGGCCCTATAACTTCTCAGCCCTGCACAAGTCCCCTGGAGATGTGGGATGAGAATTGAGGAAATCCTGTCTTTATTTGCATGTGGGGAGAGTGGAAATCAGGGCCACCACCCGTAGCCACAGGAGGACCATAGGGTAAGGGGTGGTTGGCAAGGTGAGGGTGATCTGGACTTCTCATGGCAGGAGACTTAACTCACGCTGTCTTGCTGTCTCTGGGGCCAGGCTGGAGGCTCCCTAGCAGGAAAATATGCCTCGAGACATAGGACGGAAGGCAGGAGCCTTCCTTTCTTAGCATGACAAATATAATCAAAGCATATCTTTGCTGGTGGGAGAGTTAATCAACTAGTTCAGCCTTTCTGGAGGGTAGTTTGGTAATGTTTGTTGATATTTAATTTTTTGCCCTTTGACCTACAATTTCTTCACTTTGAATACGTCTCCAAAGACACGCTTGTGTATGTATCCAAAGGAATGCCTACAGGTATGTGAAGGGCAGGAAAATGGGGGGAACCCACAAAGTGCATATGCAGGGCCAGGATAAATGGTCCTAAACACCTTTCTCGGGCCCCAAGACTGATACCAGACATAGAGATGCAGGTTCAGAAGCGTCTGGACCTCATGGCCCCTGCAGACCACACACCCCTGCTACACAGCCAGCTCATTCCTTTGCTAAGGGTAAGCCAGTCAGGTTGGTTTCTCACTGGCAGCTAGGAGAGTTCTGAATAACACATAAACACATTCATATTGTATACATAAAGTTCTAGAGGCTAAACTTGTCCACCAGCTTTCCCCCGAAGTCACTCAGAGCTCCACGGCATGGGTCCCTGCTGGCCAGCTCCCTGTTTGTGGCCAGATTTCCCAGAATGATCCTGGCTCTACTCCCACATGTGCTTCTGGGTTCCAGGTTCTGCTCCAGGCTCTTAGCCACCTCTCAAGCCTGGTCTGGCTTTTCCAGGTGAATTCTTTGGCCTTGATCCTAGGCTGAGAGCCCCCCACCCACTTTGTTCTGGCCGTGGCCAGTCTCCTGCAGCACCGTTCCCTTGGTAGCTCCTGCACACCTGGATGCCCTGTCATGTCTCTTGCTGGCTCTTTCCTAGGCATCAGCAGTTCATGAGGAAAACACAAAATACAACAACAAACCAGGAAGCATTTGGTAGTTAGCTCTAAATGAGTTACCAGCGTGAGAAGACTGCCAACAAAGCCAATTTAATCTCCCACAAAGACACTGAATCCACTTCTGTGGCCACCACCTTCACCTACCTTCACCTCTGTGGCCACCACCTTCACTGTGGTCATCACTCAGGACCACAGTGATAGCTGTCTCACTAGATCCTTGCCTAGGCCCTGGCCCTGGCCCCCACAGTCTACCCCATCCTGTCCCCCTTCCACTTAGAAGCCTATGGGGGTCCCCATCTCTTTCACTGTAAGCCTAAACACCTTTCTCGGGCCCCAAGACTGATACCAGTTGACCCCAGGACCTCTCTGACATGCTCTATACTAGTGTCCTCAGCAGTCTATATATGGGGACAGGATCAAGCCAGGTCCAGCCTGCCCCCTCTGCCCTGATTTTCCCTGATGATCTCTGGGACGTTCCCTCCCTCAAGTCTGCTCCAGTGTCACTAACTTGGTGGGGCCTCCAGCTTCCCTACAAACACTGCACTCCACCCGAACTCCCCTTTTCTCCTCCTTTTGCCTTTCTTCCTCCACAACACACATTGTCTTTAGCATATAGTACTATCTTCACTCTTCACTTTACTTGTCTCCCCAACTTGAATGTCAACTTTGTGAGGACAAGGTTTTTGTCTTTTTTGCTCACAGTTGAATCCCAGTGCCCAGAACAGCAGCTGGCATCTAAGAGGCACTTGCTCGATGTTGGCTGAAGGAACCATAGGTGGGGGAGGGGGAGTAAAAGGAAAGTGGTCAGTTGCTAAAGCCCCACCTGTGGCAGCTGACCCTGCACACCTTTACTCTTCTGCGGCTGAGGGGCTGAGGCTCGAGGCCCTCCCTTCTCTGGGTGGCCAGGCCTGGAGGCCATGCTCTGATAGTCCTGTGGGCTTTATGGGGCTGGGGCCCAGGCTATGCTTGCATTGCTCTCCTCAGTCATCCCATTTCATAGATAGAGACACTGAGGAAGTGACGATCTGCCAGGTCCCAAGCCATGCCTTCCCATGGGGCTTCCTTGCCCGGTGTCCAGCCCTTCTTCAGCCATGTCGCCTGAAGCCACTCCTCCAGTGCTAGCTCCTCCCCCCCCCTTCTCAAGCCCAGCTGCTGGCTGAGTGAGACCTCCTTGGTACTGCCTGCCAGGGACCCCACTCTACACCAACATGGAGTCAGGGGATGGAAACAGCATGGTTTGGGGGTTCACTTAGATTTGGAGCAGAACAATTTTATATTTTCTTCTGTTCTTATTCAGAACAAGGAGTTTGTGGATATTCAAATGGCAACACTAAGTAGGAAGCTTTTAAAACATCTGTCCCACTCCTATCCTTGTAACCCAGCTGGCTCTAATGCCAACTTTGTGTGGAATCCTGGGGCTTGAGGGTGAAATAGAAAAAGCTGGGGCGGCCTCAGCCTGGGCCACACCCAGGCACACAGGATACGCACTCTGGAAGTCCAGCTGTAGGGACAGGACATCCTTGAAGAGGATGCCTTCCTGCTTGGCCAGCTGCCCAGCCTCCTCCCGGGGGCCCTGCTCTGCCACAGCCAGCTTGAGCATGTCATCGTCCATCACTCTTGGTTCCACTGAGTCGTGTAGCTGGTTCATTTTCCCCAAAGGTTTCCCTAGAAAACATCACATTCCTCATTCACTACCCATTTCTTTCTTTGAGGACAGAGTCTGGCTGAGATCTCCCCTAAGGAGTCATAGAACGTCACGGTGGCCACCGACACTCTGAGTGCTGCCCCACTCCCAGCCCTGAGCCTGCTGCATCTCACGGTTAGTATAAGGGACACTACAAAAGTTTTGAGATACATAAAAGTTAAGAAATGCAAAATCATTTTGATTACTATATTTTCTCAACATAATCACCACAACATTCTACACACATTTGCATTCTTGTAAACCATTTTTTTTTTTTTTTTTGGAGACAGAGCCTTAAGCTGTTGCCCTGGGTAGAGAGCTATGACATCACAGCTCACAGCAACCTCCAACTCCTGAGCTCAAATGATTCTCCTGCCTCCGCCTCCCAAGTAGCTGGGACTACAGGC